CGCTGGGCTCGGTGGTTTGACTACAAACGTTTTGTCACCACTCTAGATTATATCTTCACTGCGCTATCATGTGGAGCAGCGCGTTGCAAAGCGTCAGTGATTGTGAGGGGTCGATTGTTTAGTAATACGAGCTGTCAGTCCGAGCTTGGATTTTCGTCAGACATACACCCATAGAAATCGATCTCTCTTAGGCGTGCGTCGTACTGTCAATACTTGTAACTTCGATGTACGTTTTGGTTTGAGGTGTTTGTCGGCAACATTTCCGCTTGTATTTATTTATCTGGGTCGTTAATCATTTATTCCTAGTGTGACATAGATAGCATCTAGTGATACACACCTGCTGATTGAATTGTTTTCACAATAACACGCTTCCAAGAATTATCAAGCTTGACTAGACTTTTCACAGACTGGAATCATTATATTATTTTGGTCAAAGTCTCGAGTCCTTTAACGTAAATACTTGGAAAATAATGAATGTAGGTTGTGTTTCTATGTGACCTTATTAGTCTTCTTAATATTTGTTGAACATCATTCAGTTTGCCTTGGTTGATATGGTCATTTTCTATGAGAGCAGTCATCTGAATATATGGTTGATTAACAGGCTACCAAGATCCTATGTGGTCATATCAATCTACCTGTAAGTTCAGACACATTCCTTATGTAAGTTAACACAATACAGTTGCTCATTTGATCGCCGAGCTGGGAAATTTGTCTGCAAAGGTTTCATCACCATGCGAAGCGGATCAATCAGTGCGTCGAGATGTGGAGTGTTACCTCGTTGATTGAATTGTCGATCCGTGATCGGCGTGCAGGTGACTTTTCGAAAAGGACGGCTTCGATCTTTGTCCCGTGATCGCTACCCATTTCCCCTTGGTGGAAGTCGTCGCTAGAGTTGTTAATCTCCAAGCAGCGTCTCATAATTTCTCTAAGTTTGTAGTGAAAATAGCCAAACGTGAAGGGCTTAACTACATTTAAGAACACAGTCTATTAATAAGAATGCTGTAGCTGACCTTAGGTAAAGCACGATCTTCGCTAGGCTGTCAGTTAGTGGCACAATCTGGTCGGAGGACAGAACTTAGTTGACACAATGAATCGACGCGTTAAATCTGATGATCGATGAACGAGGCCAGCAAACAGACGACGACAAACAGCACAACACGCGGAGCCGAAACCAGAAGGGGAATCGAAAATCGAAATAGTGTTTTATCGGTTGTTGCTCAGTTAAAACAAAACTGTAAAATAATAATGAAAGTGAGAGTAAGAAAGTACAATTGGGAAGAAATATATGTACGAGCGCTACAGAACTCCCCCTAGAGCGTGAGTCACTGGGACGAAAGCTCGATACTTGGGTGTCATTTACCCTAGTCTGGAAGGGAGAACAACTGTACGTCCGCAACCTGTTCGACGTTGCGATTTCGAGTTTGTGTCGTGAGATGCTTGGGGTGCAGAAGATGGAACAGAGGTGTCCGACATGGGCTGAGTAGGAGGCGTACTTGGGAAGGTGGGCTGGTCGGTGACAGGAATATCTGTGGGTTTCGGTATAGGTCGCGACTCGATGTACGCCGGCTTCAGGCGGTCAGTAATCACAGTATCCTGATAACCATTTCTATCCAACACCAAGTACTTCTCTTTCCGGGCAACAACCTTGAAGGGGCCCTCGTAAGGCGGTGGAAAAAGTTTACGGACGGAATCGATGCGCACGAGAACGAAGGGGCAAGTGCGCAAATCCGGGTGTACCTGTTGACTCCAAGGACTGATTCGAGGTGGCGTTGGACGAATTGAACTGAAGTGTTGCCTCAGGCGTGTGACGTACGAGGTCGGATCAACTTCTCCAGTAACCCTTGAGTCTAGCACCATTTCTCCAGTAAGCCTGAGAGTAGTGCCAAAGACCAACTCAGCGGGAAAACAGCCAATGTCTTCTTTAATAGTGTTACGAATACCAAGCAAGATAATCGGTAGACGTTCTCAATATCTTGGAACATATTTGGAACCGATCGGGCAGCCATCATTTCAGAAAACTGGGTAGACAACCGGTTAATTTATTTATGGTGATGGGCAACGTTTCGCTTTTGACACAAAAGCTTCATCAGGCGAAGTGAATTATCTTAACAGTGGCATTTTACAGCGATTATGGCTAAATTACATACAGAGACGGATCAATGTGCAGTTCATAAATGAATGATTACAGCCGTCAAAAGTCAATATGTTCGTGGGTACACTGTAGTTTGTTTCAGTCAGGGTCAAGTGGGGAAAAGAGATTGCCGGTCCGCGGATATTTACATGGGTGGTTAGCAATCTTAACTGAACCGTTGCAAGGAACTTGGACATTGATAGAACTTGGCTTTAGTTCTTCGTAAGTTGGTGGAGGGTGGATCGATAGTTCATTCCGATTTGTGATCCATGCACGGATGCTTATCAAGCTGGCCGGAGTAAGACTGGACGCCAGGCACTAGGCAGCCCTACTCCGTCTATTATATTCATGCAGTTGTTAGCCTTGGTTATTTCTATAGCTTCAGCAATCAGCCTTTGTTTGGCAGATCGTTATCCCTTCCTAATAACCACAGAACGGTAGACGTTCTGACCATTGTGAGTGCGACTGTGAAGCAGTAAGTGCAGCTTTGAGTTGACCATGGAAACGTTCAACGATGCCATTAGCAGCTGGGTGATAGGCGGTTGTTCGTAGGTGGGAACAACCAAGCAAGTGGTTCATGTTACGAAACAAGGCCGAATTGAATTGGGACCCTCTATCGGTAGTAATAGGGGCTGGCGTGCCAAAGACGGAAATCCAATTCTCAATGAATATTCACGCCATCGTTTCTGTAGAAGCACCCCGTAAAGGCACGGCAAGTAGCCAACGCGTATAACGATCAACACATGTCAATAAGTAGACAAAACCGTTGGATGGAGGCAAGGGTCCAACGATGTCATGATGAACATGTTTGAAACGAGCGTCGGGAAGAGCAAACTTGCGGTGGACGGTAAACATGTGACGGTGGATCTTGCTGGTTTGGCAAGTGATACAATGTTTGGCCCACTGCTGGATCTCGGAGCGCATGTTGTGCCAAATGAAGCGATCAGTAATTAGCTTGACGGTTGCTCGGATGCTCGGGTGTGAGATTCCATGCAGGTGGTCAAAGCTGATTCGGCGGTACTGCTGAGGGACAAAAGGCCGGGGCTTGCCAGTAGAAATATCACAGTAAATTTTGGAGTCTGAGTTAAGGATTGGCAACTGTGATATTTTGATCGACGGATTTGATCTCAGTTGCACAAACTCAGGATCTCCTTCTTGATGAGCTGCTATGTCTTCTAAGTTAATCTTCTGCCGTGAAACTTCGTGAAGACATATACGTGACATGGCATCGGCGACAACGTTATTGGCAGCATCGACATGGCGATTGTCGGTAGAAAACTGTGAAATATAATCCAAATGACGAATTTCTCTGGGGGAGAAACGGTCGGATGAACCACGGAAAGCAAAGGCAAGTGGTTTATGGTCTGTAAGAATGGTAAACGTGCGACCTTCAAGCAGGTGCCGAAAATGTTTGATAGCGAGGTAGATAGCTAAAAGTTCTCGACCGAATGTGCTGTATCGCGTCTGTGCTTGCTGGAGTTTACGAGAGAAAAAGGTTAGCGGCTCAGGTTGACCTTTGATTACCTGCTGGAGAACAGCCCCAACGGCGGTATGAGATGCATCAGCCTTGAGGATCAGAGTGGCGTCAACATCAGTCCTCAAATGACTTAGCGCGGTAGCGTTGGACAACGCGTGCTTGATCTTTTCGAATGCATTGATAGCTTGCTGAGTGGGCTCGAAGTTTCGTGACCTGCCTTTAGTAAATCGGTCAATGGCTGGAGTAGCCCAGAGCAATCTGGTATGAAACGGCTGTAGTAATTCACCATGCCGAGAAAAAGAAGTGGACTTTTAAAAGATTGTGGCATAGGGTAGTCTGCAATCGCTTTGCATTCTCGGGGAGTGGACTAATGCCATTGCAATCAATTCGGTGGCCCAAAAAATCAACAGAACTCTGGCCAAAAACACATTTGTCAACATGGATCGTAACACCATACTGAGCAAAGCGTTCGAAGATCGATCGGAGATGCGATAGATGCTCATCATGATTGGAACTGGCCACAAGAATATCGTCAATGTAGGCGTAGACGAAATCGAGCCATCTAAGGATTTGATCGATGAACCTTTGGAAAGTCTGTGCGGCATTTCTTTGACCAAATGGAATGCGAACGAATCCATAAAGACCAAATGACGTGGTTATAGCGGTCTTCAAAATATCGTCGGGAGCAACCGGAATTTGGTGGTATGCACGCACCAAATCAATCTTAGATAAAACTGTTCTTCCATGTAAACCAGTTGAAAAATCATGGATGTGCGGAACCGGATATCTATCGGGGACGGTGGCATTGTTTAGTGCACGGTAATCTCCGCAAGGTCTCCAGTCGCCACTGGACTTTTTGGGAACCATATGAAGCGGGGAGGACCATGGGCTATTGGAAGGACGAACGATACCGAGACGAAGCATATGTTCGAACTCTGCCTTGGCAGTAGCGAGCTTGTCTGGAGGTAATCGTCGAGGTCGGGCGGTTACTGGCGGCCCAAGTGTTAAGATGTGATGCGTAACTTCGTGCTTAGGCTCAGGAAAGTCATTAGACGATTGACAAAGAGCAGGAAACTGCAGTAATAGTTTGGTAAACACATTGTCGGCGGCAATGCCAAGCGAAGACCGATCGAACTGATCGAAGTGACTTTACCCGAAACGGACAAGGATGTCAAACTATCGCATAGTTTACGGTTACGCGGGTCCACGATCAGGCCAAACTTGGTAAGGAAATCAACACCAAGGATGGGGCGTTGGACGTCAGCGATGAGGAAAACAAAGGGAAAACTTCGACGAAGACCAAGGTTAAGAGTCAACATTTTCTGGCCGTATGTATGGATCTTGGTATTATTCGCCGCCTGCAATGTCAGTCCGGTTGGAACCAGTATGCTTTTTTTCTGCAGAACGAGGAATAACGCTGACCTCGGCACCGGTGTCAACCAAGAAGTTCAAATTGGTTGAGGAATCGTAGACGTAAAGTAGGCGACTGTAAGATTGGCCAGACGCAGCCGTCGCCATCACTGGCTGGCGTGGAGGTTTCCCTGCTGCGGTTTGTGGAATGACTTCGGATGGTTACAACCAGGTCGACAATTCCTTGCATCATCGCCAAAACGGTGGTGGTACCAACAGAAATGACGTTTCGAACTCCTGGCGGGACTACGTCTACTTCGAGAGGAGCGTCTAGGGCTTCTACCACGGTAGCGATTAATGCTCGAGATGGCGAGCTCCAGTTTCGATAACCTCTCAGAAATGGTTTCAATCGGGTCAGTTTTAAGATCGGCGTTAGCGTTCGACTCAACTGCGTGACATGCGGGTTGATGAAAGTACTCATGAACTTTGTCTGCTGTTTCAGCCAGCTTGTCCAAAGACAAATCATCTGCGAAGACGGCGAGAAGAGCTGAGGTGTTCGATGGAAGACATTTCGTCCAGAGCTGTCGCAGAATCGTGTCATCGACCTTAGAGGAACCGACCAACGTACGCATGTGCCTGAGAAGTTGTGACGGCGTGCGATCACCTAGTTCAAGACCGGAAAGTAATTGTCGAAGTCTAGCTTCGTCGGAGGCCGTGGTGCGCTTTAATACGGCGGCTTTGAGTTTATCGTAAGGTGCGTCAGCCGGAATCGGATCGAGCAAGTCTATAAGGTCAGTTGCGATGTGGGTAGGAAGCTGGGCAGTGACATGTGCGAACATTAAGGACTGAGAAGTAATACGGCGTATGCGAAAAAGAGCTTCCAATTGTAAAAACCACACGTGAGGATTAGAAGAATCGAAGGCAGGGAAGGAGAAACCAACAAAATTTTCTGAAATGTCAGTGCGGGGATCGTGGTCTGACATAGTCAAATCACAAAAAAGGAGTTCTGAGCTTTTTAAAAAAATGAAAACGGGGTCACCAAATATGTAGTGGAAAAGGCCAAACGGAAAGGGCTTAACTACATATAAGAACTCAGTCTATAAATAAGAATGCTGTAGCTGACCTTAGGTAAAGCACCATCTTCGCTTGGCTGCCAGTTAGTAGCATAATCTGGTTGGAGGACAGAACTTAGTTGGCACAATGAATCGACGCGTTAGATCCGATGATCGATGGACGAGGCGAGCAAACAGAAGACGACAAACAGCACAACACGCGGAACCGAAACCAGAAGGGGAATCGAAAATCGAAATAGTGTTTTATCGGTTGTTGCTCAGTTAAAACAAAACAGTAAAATAATAATGGAATTGACAATAGGAAAGTACAGCTGGGAAGAAATATAAGTACAAGCGCCACAAGTTCTATCCAATGCAATAAAATAGGTTTATCGTATGGTTCTTTCCAGTTTAGGGGCCCCAATCTCCTCAAGTGTTTTTGGAACATATTTTGTCATGTTTGCAATAGACTGTTCTCTTCCTACTACCTGAATTCCTTTGTGTTGCAGTGTGTTTCAACCCCTATGAGGTGGTTTGATTCCAGCTATTATTCTGCTGCAGATGATGGCTGTTGTGGTAGGCAAATATTTGGTCTGCGCGAGGATTCGTCCGTTCCACACATGGATAATATTTTCCGTTAATGTTTCTGCCTATCAATATATCCGAATATGACGATTCGCTGCAGTTTTCAGGGTCAAGGTTAAACGTACTAAAGGTGTCAGCCGAGTTAAGATATATGGTAACACCAATTTTAAGAGTTGCTTATGTTAAAACATTAGTCGTCTTCCACCTGTGTTACGCAGATTCATATCTTTGAAATACCGATCCCTCAAAAAATGTGATTTCGAATTTGGGCAGACAACATCTAGATCTATCTAGATTTGCATGCTTTCCTGGCGCATTCGAGGCACCGTGGTTGGTGATATTTATGAGTTGCCGGATGTATATCGGATCGGTAAACGAGTTGCCAATTCCATTAAACTCATTGTGACTTTGGCAGTTAAAACCCCTGGTGCTCACTTTTGGACATATCGAGATGCAAGCTGTCTCAAATTTACGCACTGCTTGGTTGGTTCCGGATCTTACGCGTTGATATTTATTGTGGTTATTGTTGATGTTGTCTTGTTTTCTGAATTTGCCCGAAAGCTAGGTGTTAGAAAGAATTGTTGCCTGCTATTCTAGCAGGGGTGTTGTTTAGGTTTTCCAATTGATGCCACACTAACATTTTGCAAAAGGCTCTTCCATCTATGATTGTTTTTATTAAGGGCTGAGGAATATAAGTAATTCAGGGCCTTGCAAGTATTACAACCAATAGAGCAGTGTTTTTTTCATCGAAACCTCTTTTCCGCAACCGGGCTGTTGTACATTTGTGACTGTCTTAGGACATGTTGCATAAGTCAGTCACGCACGGCGCATGCATAAAACCCGAGTCCGTGATTATAAAATTCAAAGAAATAAAGCCGTAATGGACAAACTACTCATCTGCATGCACCGACGTAAATAAAGTTTGGAGGGTTTGGACTAAAATGCGTGAATTGATCTATGTGTAGCTGAATCAAAATAGACGTTGTGCTTCCCCTCACAACTGCGCAGCTTAATCCAGGTCCAAGTAAATATGACCCAATACAAAGACATAAGCTTGTCCTTCTAGGCGGAGTACAACAAACAACCATGAAGCGTTATTTTATAAAGTTTAAAAAAACAAGGCTAAGCCAAATATAAAGTTTGGCCTAAGTGGTACGGTTGGATTGCCAATGGAAAAGCTACATGGTCCACAATAAACTACTGAAGACGGTTATTTGTAGAAATATTTTTCAGCGGATTTTGTTTGCTGATTCAAAATTGAAAAATTTCATTCGCGTTGCTTGGATAAATGGAATTATCTATTAATATCTACTGCATATAAATTATGCAACAGAATTACAATGCAAAATTTACTCTTATAATTCGAGGAATCATTCACTAAATATCGCCCTTTGAACCGCCACACCTGTCATGAGTCAATTCGATATACAACCGTGTCAAGTTTCTATTGCGTATGTACTAAGCGCTGGATTATTGAACGCATAAATATATAATCATCCTACACATTATCTCCCCCGTACTTCTTCAAACACTGTTCTCTCCATTAAGCAGCATCCTGTTGTATTCTCTGTATGACAACAAATATGCAAGGATTTATGCAATACCGCTTGAAGCTGTGCTTTGTGACGGAAGAACAGTAAACATAGTTTTTTGAAATAATTATTATCCAAATAGGCAAAATTCGAATTCATTAAAGGCGATCTATGAAAATTTCCTGAAGGAGCTAATCATAGATGTAGCTGAGCGGTGGTTGTAGTAGCATTATTTTATCAAGTAAATATACTTTAGCAGCATAACCGAAAATACGACGGAAGCGACACCGACAGCGTCATGTTATCTCATTGTCTTTATATAAAATTAGACCGAGCTCATAAGTATCTACTGTTTATTACTAACTTTTTGCAAATTGTTATCTAATTTACATGTAACCTTATAAGCTATATTGTGCGTTTCTCTGAAACTCGTTGATAGTGCATTAATGCGAGCCCTTTCATTAATTCCCGAAGGATGTTCACATATTTCGTGGGAACACATTTCCGCGCAAGTATATCGAACAGAATCGACCTGATCGACTGAATCAAACGCACTCTTGAAATCTAGGAACACAGCTATTGTCGGTCTGCGGTATGCGTGGCGCTTCTATAGCACTTGCCACAAAGTAAACACATGGTCTATACAGCCACGTCCTGTGCGGAAACCAGCCTGCTCTTCCTTAATCCGTGATTCCTGTTCCGCAAAGAGGCGACGAACGAGCATCGCGGCCAGTAATTTTGTCACAACTGGCGTTAGGCTAATACCCCTGTGGTTAGAACAGTCTGTGCGACTGCCCTTCTTGTATATATCCGATATACTCGATTCGCTTTAATTATCCGGGACACAATCTTCCTTCCTGCTACATGCGAATATGGAGGTCAGTGCTTTGCAGAGGACCTTACCTCCATCCTTATATAATGCAGGTGGTAGGGAATCCAGGCAGGAAAACGATTAAGCCCTGTGATCGCGTTTCGGACATCGGCCTCCGACGGAGGCTCTAAACTAACCGTCCATGGCTCGTCCTGCATCACGTGAGTAGGAAGAGTTCCGGGAACAGGGAGCCAGCTGAACTGAACTTGAAGGTGTTCCACCCAACGAGCCATACGGCGCACCTTATTGTGTATCAGCACACTTGTGCTATCTCTCTCGTTGGCTTACTGACGCCTGGTTTTCTGGGACCAGTGGTGCAGTTTTGTTGGAAGAATTGGCGGTAATTGCCTACTGCTCCTGCCCCCCCATTTCATTACTTCGACTGACTTATCTGGCTTCCTTTTCAGCAGTAGTCCCCGCTTTAGCAAGCGTTTTATAGCCCTTCTGGTCACTTTGTGTTCAGAGCCAGCCGGGAGGTGTCTTCTAGATTCCAACAGGTCCACCGACATCTTGGATATCCAGTGACTGGTGCGGTGTCGATTGACAGTGCCACAAGCAGATTCTCCTGCGGCGTGCATGGCGGCCGAAATCCTATACCACTGAATCTCAGTGTCATTAGGACAAGACAGCGGAAGTTCGGTATGCAGTGCTCAATGCAGGCTTGCCTGACTGAGGGCTGAGACAATTTCTCAGTTGCCAATCGGGAGAGAGGTATGGTGCGCTTCCCGGTAAACTTCATGGGGATAAGGCAATGTACCAAGGCATGATCAGAGTCGATATAGATAATATATTACGAGCGGCAATCCAGGATGGAGCCACGCCACCTGTAACTTATGGCTATATGGTAATTTGGGTCCATCGCTGGCCAGCTAAATTAGGACGGCAAGTGGCACTTCGGCGTTCACTGTGTCTACAAGCGGTGCTACTAAGAAGCAACTGGTGCTCAGCACAAAATTGCAGCAGAGGCTCAACGTTTTCAGCCCGTTCAGAGATAGGCCCACAATTACCACCCAGTTGAGCTTTCGAAGTGTTCAGACGCCTTACTTGAGCGTTTATATTTCCTTCAAGAACTATAATATCTTAACTAGTAGCACTGCGTAGTAGCGCGTTCAGTTTGACATAGTATGTGTCCTTTACAACATCTGAACTGCAGTCGGTGGGAGCTTAAGCGGAAATCACAAACAAACAGCGCTTTGCACTACTTCGTGAATTAACCTTGGCTGATGTCGTCAAACGGACTGCATATAAACGGCTCTTCACCGGAATTCAATCAAACAACGATGGATCAGCCTTAGAGCTTAGAATGATAAATACAACAGTTTGACCCGTGGGTGCTGCATCGGCGTCTCCGGATGTGTGCAACCAATAACGAGAGGATAAGCCGGGTGTGGTCAATTCAATAACCCGTTAGGGTCATTGATCCTAGTTTCGTACACACAACACATGATATGTCGATTACTAGCGGCCGTAACAGGGAAGTCCTGACACCGAAAGGCCAACTGCTGTCATCTGCATGGCAGGCGCCTGCTTGGCAGTGGAGGTGGGGTCGCGCTATTTCGCAATTAGTTAACAATAAGTGATGGTCGGCTACCGTCCTCCATGGCGCAGTTGCATAAGCTGCGGTCTAGTTGGCACAAGCCAATAGCAGCCATGGGTTCGATCCTCCGTAGAGGACCGAAGGATGCGCACCACTGACGAACCCCAATAGGGCGAAACGGTTGTCTGTTTCATTTCCGGATAGGTAGTTGACTTATGTGGATTGTCGG